GGGCTATTTGGGACATTCTGAAGATAAACATATAGACAAAGTACTATACTGTTTCCCAGCTTACCTACTAGAAACGAAGGATAAACCGATTACCAGCACATAACACACATTACTAAAATAAAGATTCATGTGTGTTAGAATCAACACTATCACAAGTCTTGTCGCCTCTGAGGACACTTCAACACTATAAAGTATACTGTTAGTGGTGATCCCCAGTAAGTATTTCTTGCACTATGTCATACAGAAATACTCAGGGAGAGGACACATGTTCAAGAGAACATGCAACATCAAAATGTCATCCCAAAAAGAACATGCAAAATCCAGAGGCAAAGTGTCCCTTCTTTTTCAAGCAGCTGAATTTGAAATGAGCTGCTGTAACATCACTTAAAGGAGCTTGAACCGAGAGAGAGAGATCGAGAGAGAGAGAGAAAGAGAGAGAGAGAGAGAGAGAGAGAGAGAGATCGATCAGCACCAACCAAGCACCCTGGGAGATCCAAAACCCTCCTCCAAAATACGCACGTGCACTTCAGAGTGATCCCTGTCAAGCCTCTCAGATCAGTAAATCGCGATGTTCAACAAACTATGTTATTAGTTCGACAATTTCTGTTTTGATTTTGAACATATCCAAAGACTTCTGTCATTACATTTTTTTCATCAAGATAACCATCATTTCCTTGTTAAAACCCAAACTATTAGCTAATCTCTGGTACCCTTACTGGCCCAAGAGCAGCACTTTTATCTTTAGGCTAAAAAAGCCTAGAGTATACAACCTGGAGACTATTCACACAAACGATCACTCATGTAATTAAACCCAGAGGAAGGGCAACACCAACCAAGTCTCTTACCTCTGGTCTATAACTACCAGGATAATACCTAGAATTATCTGTCGAGGTGCAGTGAGGCCTTACAATTCCCTTAAATAGTCGAGTCACAGAATGTTTTGAAATCCAGAAGTCAAGGTAACAGTACTACTCAGCTATATAATAAAAATCAAACTGGTATCCTGGTTGGGAGGCCCCGGCAAAGCCACAACTTCTCACAGCCACAATTTGTTTTTTACTTGTAAACTGAGGAAGCTGGACTAAAGTTCCTTTCAGTTCTAAAATTTTAAGATCTTTGATTAACTCACTATTTCTAATGGGGAAAAAAAGAGCCAGCAAATGAAAGCAGTAAGGCAAACACCCAATAAAGCAGTAATTTGCAGGTGCATGTATATGATGGCCCCAGCTCCGAGGCGAGGAAGACAAGTGAACCCTTCCTAAGGCTCGATCCTGACAGCTCAGACATCTGTAGTAACTGCAAAACCGCCACGGTGAGGACACCTTCCTATGCCAGCAGACCCAACATAAGTGTGCCTTGAAGAAGTTATAAAGGCCAAGGCTTTATTCATGAGTAGAATGGCCACCCCTCCTTTGATACGGGAGTGGGGGTGCCCTGCCTGCCAGGAAATTCCCACTCAGTTCCCCCCCCGAACACCATTACCTACCATCAAAAATGATAGAACCAAGTATTTAGTAATGGCATGCCAATCAAGATTTCAAAAAGAAGAAAGTCCTTGCAAGAGAAAGGCAGAAGAGAACAGATAAAGGCCGAAGAGCCTAACTTTTGTGTAAGCGAGCCCAAGGAAGAGGAACCCATTTACGTCTGTCCTGCTGGATACGAGGTAAAGGCCCAGTGGTGACAACGGCAGTTTGGCTGGAGAAGGTCCTTCTGTTGGAGCAGCAATAACGCTCTAGCAAAGAAAAAAGGTTGGGTGTGCCAGCCACAGAAGGCTGGTCTGCACGCATGTCACCGAAGTAGAGGGGGGTGACAACAAGCAGGTGTCCTGCCATACTCCCTGAGACTCACCACCAGTCAAGGACTGGGCTCCCCCCATCCCTCCAATCCCGTACACTTAAAACGCTCCGGACACTACAGCTGATCCTTGAATAACACAGGTTTGAACTGTGCGGGTCCACTTATGTGCAGATTTTTTTGGGTCCAGTCCTGTAAATGTATTCTCTCTTCCCTGTGATTTTCTTAATAAACGTCTTCTTTATTTGTCTGTGTTGTAAAAATACGGTATAAGATACACATATACGGTATAAGATACACATAACATACAAAATGTTAATCAACTCTTTACGTTAACGGTGAGGCTTCCGGTCACCACTAGGCTATTAGTAGCTAAATTCTGGGGGAGTCAAAAGTTGTATGCGGATTTTCAACTGCATTTCGGGTGGGGGTCGGGGCCCCTAATCTCTGCATCATTCAAAAGTCAACTGTAGTTACTACAAATGTTTTCTGTGATTTTCTCCTGACGACCACCGCATAGGTAGGTATTCTCGCAGAGAACTCAGGCAGCCTAGGACAAACTGCTCTTAGCCGATTAAAAGATGTCTACTGACAGTCACCTTTTGAAAAGATTACAGGTTCCAGGACGCACATTTATCACGCAAATAGTGCCAGGCAGATCCATTAGCGGTGGAGGCAGAGCTGGAGTAAGGAACTAACAATTTTACTTCTTCTCTTCTCATTCTACGTGCATCCACATATGGGACTTATCTGGCCAAACTCAGCAGTCGGCCTCCCCGCCCTCTAGATTTGGCTACACAGACAGAGCAAAGAAGAAACAATGACTCTAGCTGGAGACTGCAAATAGAATGCAAAATTGTATCCTAACCCTCCCAATAGGGGAACAGCACAAAAGTGGGAGTAGGGTTTGAGTACATCGCGCTCTATCAGGTGAAATAAAGACTTGCTACTCTAGGTTTAAAGCATTCCAGGCACATTTGTAACAACAAGAAATAGGACAGTGCGATAGGCTCCTAATAGCAAAAAAAAAAAAAAAAGCCCCGTAGAATCAAGCTGTTGGAATATTCTGACTTCAGATGCCACCAGGCACTTTTCAGAGACATTATACTCTGGAAGCTGCCTGCGCTGTTTAGAAGGCTAGGGGTATGATGAGCAGCTAACTGGAGGGGCAGCCGGGGAGGCAAGCGCATTGCCAATGATGCAAAACAAAACAGAGTCCTCATCCTGTCACGTCAGAGGCTCAGATGCACAAACCCTGGAATCTTTGTGTGTCTGTGTGTGTGGATAGGAATGTACCTCAGTGATCAGCCACGAAGCTGACATGCCACACATCGGTATCTTGTGGCAACTTATTTAACCAACTATACTCTACTGATTCTTCCGTGTCTTTGGCTGCAGTTTGAAAAAGAAGTCCTAAAAAGCCCATAAATAAGCCTATTCCCTAAATCCCTGGTGGAAATTCCTAAAACACCTAAAAAACCCAGACGCTGTTTTTGTTTTCATAAGGACCCAGCATGTTTCAAAATACCCAAGAGGCCAGCTTAATCTTGTTAACTGAAATCGCTGAGATCCAAATGAAAATTCTGGCCACGAACCCCAAATCTCTCCGCAAGTAATAACTGCCCATTAACAACAGTGAATTTTACTACTATGGCACAAATAAGCTTCATTTTTCTAGTATAACAAAACACCTAAAACTTGTGAGAGTCTTCCAAAGTCTAAGCCACTTGGCATCACGCGCTGCTAGATTTGCTTCCACCATCACCAACCACCCCCCTGAATTCGAGCCTACCATCTCACAATTTGGGGTACTGATCCCACACGACAGAGACACAACGTGTGAATGGCTCTGCAGAGTCCATTCCTGTTCCTGGAAAAACAACAAAAAGCACACAGCTGCCTGACCATGAGTCAGGAATATCACTTTTGTGGTGGAGCCCATTTCTGCTGTGACCAATCCACAACGAACACACTCACAACACAGGCGACCACCACAGAGGTAGGTATTCCAGAGCAAGCTTTCCCAGCCTCGGGTCCACTTAGCAAGGTCATCAACGGTCTTCTCGGTGAAAGCAGTTTTTTTTAGACTCTTTACGATGACAATAAGTCTTCGGGGCAAAATCCACAGAAACATTGCCACACCGCGAAAAAGTCACCTGAGTTTCAGTTTGGGTGATTCAGTTATAACCAAACTAAAAAGGAAATAAACTTTCAGGGGTAACTGACAGGAACCACAGCAATGCAATGAACTTGCCCCATCTGGTAATGATGATCTCGAGCGGGGCGCGCTCCAGGACCATCGGAGCCGGTTACATACTATGTCCCACTCCACTTATGTAACTGGAAGATCTCCGGCGAAGGGGGGCGGGGAGGATGGGAGGGCGCTCACATTCTGAGGCCACGGAACCCCCCAAAGACCCTGGGGGCGCACTCCCACCGAAGAGCCTCTGGTGCTCCCGGACACGCAGTCCCCTACCTACGGCTCCTGATGGGAACTATAACGGCCTCTTTATGATGAGTTGTGGGACCAGGAACACAATGTCTAGTCCCTTTGGTGGGTGGGCAATAATTCCCACCTACTTGCTCCTGCTAGAAGGGAAAGGAGATGGTGGACCGACTCGCTCGCAATGGGGGCAGAAAGTCATGGAATGGGCGAGAAGGAGGGGGAGGCAAAGCCTGGAGATGGGGGTGAGAGCGCAGGAGCCCTTGTGGCGCACTCTCCCGACGGGAGGCGGACTGCGCACGCGCGCCGGTGGGGGGGCCGAGTAACGGCAGAGGGGGCGCGCGAGGGAGGGAGAGGGAAGAGCGCGATCCAGGGAGAGGCCGGGGCGGCGGGCGCGCGACGCCGCCGCGGGCCCGAAGCCCCGAGAAGGGCACGACGCGCGCACAGCCCCGACAGGCAAAACCCCGGCGACAGGGGCGCCCGCGGGCCCGGGGGCCGGGATGCGCGCCGGAGGCGGGAGGGAGGAGGGCGCCAGGCGAAGTCGGCCCTGGGAGATCGCGCCGAGGACGGTCACCGCGAGTGCGGGTGACGGGCCGAGGGGGCAGCCGTCACCGGTGGCGGCGGGAGGGGGAGGGTAGAGAGGAGGGACGCCATCCGCCAGCCGTGTCGCCCGACCCCGCGGGCCCCTCCCGCGCCACGTCCCGCCCCTACCCTCCGCCCCCCGGCAAGGGTCCCCGCCCGCGGCCGCGGCGGTCCCACTCACAGTCTCTCCTCCTCGCCTCCTCCTCCTCCTCCGCTCGGCGCGGCAGCGGCGGCGGCGGCCATTTTCCGGACGGCTTTTACCACAGCCCTCTCTCTGAGAGGAGGGAGCGCGCGCGCCGCCGACGCCGGGACCCCGCACGGCCGACGTCGCGCCCCGCCCTCCCGGCCGGCCTGCGCGCTGCTGCACCTGCGCGCCCGCGCCCCGCCCCCGGCGCCGCCGCAAGCCCGCCCGCCATTGGGTGCGGAGGCCGGGGTGGGGCGGGGCCTCGGCGAGAACGCTACCAATTGGCTGGAGTTTGTGTCCATCCCGGCCAGGGAAAAGGGGGTGGAAACCCTGTCAAGCTCCCGATTGGTTGCCATCGACCGTCATTTGGGGAAAAGAGGCGGCTTGGGCGCGGAGGGGCTGGTTTAGTGGGAGGAATTTGAATATTAAGGATTAATAGGCCCTTGCGGATGCTGGGGCAAGTGAAGGCCTAGGCTTCGCATGCCTTTTTGCGTGGCCTTTCCGGGCCGTTGACCCTCTGTACACAAACGCACAAACTACGCTACCATGAGAGTTTCACCGCACCCGCATTTTCTCAGTATCACCACCTTCAGTAGAAGCAGCAAAGTTGCCTGCCCTGGAGCCTGACGTTGTTCCAGACGAGGGACCTTCGAGGGACCTTCGTTTCAGGGGCCTGCCCGTTGTATTCTTTCATCTGAGCCTGCCGTGTGCCACGCTCTCATAGGATCAAGGAATAAATAACAAACCACAACCCTGGCCTTCCTGAAACTCTGGTGGGAGAAGACGGTGCATGCCAGGGCTGCACCGAGAACTGAGATCTGTCATTGTATCACATGGTTTGCTGGAGTTGTGGAAAAGGGGCAATGGGAGCACAAAGGAAGCAGCACTTAGCTCTGCCAGGAAGGGAGAGGGAAGACGTCCTAGAGGAACTGATTTGGGAGCTAAGATCCAGCAATTCTGTGTCAGAAAAACATTTAAGAGTATGAGAAAAGTTTTATCTAATGGGGTGTTCAGCACAGGACTATTTCTCAAGGCAACCTTACTCGGATTCCAGCCATCTTCCAATTCATCCAATGCTCCTTGTACTAGTTCTATGCTTAACAAGGAAACTTATGTTATTAAATACCTGCTATATGCCAAGTTCTGGATCCACGGTACTGAACAAGACAGTAAACTAACATTCTTGTGACAAAGATTTATACATATATAAAGATATAATACAATAAATATGTCATATGTCGTAATGATACATATATACATACATAAACATGTAATATAATAAATAAGTATGTCATATAATGTCACATAATGATAAGGGCTTTGAGAAAGATAAAACAAGGGAGAAGGGGGAGCTATCTGGATATCTATAGGCTTTTGCCCTCATTTGAACCCCCCATATGGATACCTGGGGAGAGATATCCATTTGGCAAGTTCAAAGGCCCTGAGGAGATACTACGCCTGGAATGCGGGGCGGGGGAGCTTATGTAGCTAGAGAGTGTAGGGTGTGCTGCTGGAAACGCCTCTAGAGCCACCATGGGAACTGGGATCATCTGAGATGAGAAACCTTGGGAAGATTTTGAACTGAGAGTTAACATCATCAGATCTATGTTGCAGGTGCAATGTGGAGAACTTCCATGGAGGGACAAAACTAAGAGGAAAAGCTCAGTCAGGACGCCCTGACAACAGTCGAGGACAGGCACTAGTGGCGTTAACGAGTGTGGTAGCAGTGGAGCTTCTGCAAAGTTGTGAGAGTCAAGCTATATTTTCAAAATTGAGCAGAAAAGATTGGATGTAGAGCATAGAGAAAGAGAAGAGAGCAGGGTGAGTCCTGAGGTTTTCACTGAGCAGCTGAAGGAATCGGTACCTTTCACTATGATGGCAAAAACTGTAGGAAAACACATTTTTGGAGGTATAGATCAAGAGTTCTGGGGGCGCCTTGGGGGCTCAGTCGGTTGAGCGTCCGACTTCGACTCAGGTCATGATCTCACGGTTCGTGGGTTTGAGCCCCACGTCGGGCTCTGTGCTGACAGCTCAGAGCCTGGAGCCCGCTTCAGATTCTGTGTCTCCCTCTCTCTTTGACTCTCCCCTGCTCACGCTGTGTCTCTCTTTCTCAGAAATAATTTTTTTTTTAATTTTTTTAAAATTTTAAAAAAGAGTTCTCTTTTGGCCATGGTAAACTTGGGGTGCCTCTTAGATGTGAAAATGGAGATGTTGAGTAGGCATTTGGGTTAATAAGCCAACAAGTTCAGCATCTGACTCAAGAAGCTATAAAAGAAACAGCAGATGGGGCGCCTGGGTGACTCAGTCAGTTGGGCGTCTAACTTTCGGCTCAGGTCATGATCTCACAGTTCGTGGGTTCGAGCCCCGCGTCGGACTCTGTGCTGACAGCTAGCTCAAACCCTGGAGCCTGTTTCAGATTCTGTGTCTCCCTCTCTCTCTGACCCTCCCCTCCTCACGCTGTCTCTCTCTCTCTCTCTCCCTCTCTCTCTCAGAAAGAAATTAAAAAACATTAAAATATTTAAAAAAATAAAAGAATCAGCAGAGTAAACCTGGAGAAAATAGAAGGAAGGAAAATAAGGATGAGTAGAAATGGATGAAACAGAACAAATGATAGGACTGAGAACACCAAAAGCTGATCCTTTGAAAAGCTGGGGAAAAAGAGCCAACCCCTTAACAGTCTACATATAAAGAGAGAAAAGTCAAATTACATTAGAAATGAAAAAAAAAACTGTAGCCACAAATACAACAGATTATACAATAGATAATAGATAAAACATACATTGTTAAAGAGATATTTTGAAAACTGTATGTCAGAACATTGGAAAGCATACACAAAATGAAAAACTGCCTAGAAAAGCACAGATTACCAAAACCGACCCTAGAAACATAAAACCTGGAGAGACCCTCTATAACCACAAAGAAATTGACTATATACTGTATTTTTGAAATCTACCCCGTGCCAAAAAAAGAAAAAAAAAAAAGCTCAGAGAGCTTTACAGATGAATTCTACCAAACTGTTAATGAATGGATAATTCCAATCATACGCAGAAAAAAAAAAAAAAAACCAAAAAACTCTAAACTTATTTTATGAGACTGATATGACTACTATAATGAGCCAATGAAAATGTGCGACAGGACGTGCACATACCTGTGAAAATGCTAGACAAATAAACAGAATCCAGCAGAATATAATGAAATAACCAAGTTGAGATTTATCCTAAGAATGCAAGGATGGTTTAAAATGTAAAAATCAGGGGTGCCTGGGTGGCTCAGTCAGTTAAGCGTCTGACTTCAGCTCAGGTCATGATCTTACAGTTTGTGGGTTCAAGCCCCGCATCGGGCTCTGTGCTGACAGCTAGCTCAGAGCCTGGAGCCTGCTTTGGATTCTGTGTCTCCCTCTCTCTCTGCCCCTTCCCCACTCATGCTCTGTCTTTCTCGAAAATAAACATAAAAAAATTTTTTAATAAAAATAAAATTGAGGGGCGCCTGGGTGGCTTAGTCGGTTAAGCGTCCGACTTTCGCTTAGGTCATGATTTTGCGGTTCGTGGGTTCGAGCCCCGCGTCGGGCTCTGTGCTGACTGGCAGCTCAGAGCCTGGAGCCTCTTTCGGATTCTGTGTCTCCCTCTCTCTCTGACCCTCCCCTGCTCACGCTGTCTGTCTCTCTCTCCTAGAAATAAATAAAAATATTAAAAAAATAAATAAATAAAATTTAAAAATCAACCTTAACAGATTTAAGGGGAACAAATTATATGATTGTTTCAATAGATACAGGAAAAATGTTTAATAAAATACAACTACTTATGAGAAAAACAACAACCTAGACAGCTATGAATAGAAGGGAACTTGCTCAATCTGATCCAAGGTATCTATTAAAAACTTAAGAGGAAACAGGATATTTAATGGTATTAAGTGGCAACAAAGCAAAAACCGAACAGATCTATGGTGCAACATCGTTCGTGCAAAATAAAACACATGTGTTCTCCCCCAATTCGCTTTTAAACCTCGTCCTTCGTGTTTCACTGTGAGAGGAAAGACCCATTAGACCCGGTAGAGAAAGACCCCAGGAAGTAAGAAAAAGCTGGAAAATGTGGAGTGTCCAGGGGGCTCAGTTGGTTAAGCATCCGACTCTTGATTTTGGTTTATGTCGTGATCTCACGGTTTGTGAGCTTGAGCTCCACGTTAGGTTCTGCTCTGACAGTGCAGAGCTTGGAATTCTCTCTCTCCCTCTCTCTCTATGTCAACCCTGCTCATGCTGTTTCTCTCTCTCTCTCTCTCTCTCTCTCTCTCTCTCAATAAATATTTTTTTAAAAGCTGGAAAATGTAATTTAAAAAAGATTCAACTCACTCTGGCTACAAAAATTATAAAACGGCTGGGAATACCTAAGAAATGCCAAAAACCTATATTTATTTTTTTAATGTTTATTTATTTATTTTTCTTTCACAGTTTGTCAAGTTGGTTTCCATATAACACCCAGTGCTCATCCCTACAAGTGCCCTCCTCCATGACCATCACCCCCTTCCCCTCCCCCCCACCCCCATCAGCCCTCAGTTTGTTCTCAGCATTCAAGAATCTCTCATGGTTGGCCTCCCTCCTGCTCCCCAACTATTTTTCCCCTTCTTCTCCCCCGTGGTCCTCCCTTAAGTTTCTCCTAATCCACCTATGAGTGAAAACATATAGTGTCTTTCGTTCTCTGCCTGACTTATTTCGCTCAGCATAGCACCCTCAAGGTCCATCCATGTTGCTACACAAGGCCAGATGTCATTCTTTCTCATCGCCATGTAGTACTCCATCGTATAGATGAACCACATCTTCTTGATCCATTCGTCCGTGGATGGACACGCAGGCTCTTTCCATGTTTTGGCTATTGTGGAGAGTGCTGCTATGAACACTGGGGTCCATGTGCCCCTATGCATCAGCACTCCTGGATCCCTTGGGTAAATTCCTCGCAGTGCTATTGCTGGGTCACAGGGGAGTTCTACTGTTAGTTTCCTGAGGAACCTCCACACTGTTTTCCAGAGGGGCTGCACCAGTTTGCATTCCCACCAACAGTGTAGGAGGGTGCCCGTGTCTCCACATCCTCGCCAGCATCTGGAGTCTACTGATTTGCTCATTTTAGCCACTC